GAATGACGTGTGGATCCCACCGTTGGGCTTCTACTGCAGAGGGAGCATTCATCCTCATGCTGCTGCAGCCAAATCTGCCGTAGGAGGAAATACCCGCTTGCGTCAGGAGCACTGTGTGATTCCAAGAGGCGGCACGTACGCCGACATTGCTGCTTCGCATTACCACGACTGCGTGCGCAGCAAGTTCGTTCATCGATTGCGGTTCCCAGCTATGTGGGGATGTTTTGGTGAGGAGTACTTCCTGGCCAACAAGTGTGCCATTCCTTTGGCGCACTGATTGCATCCATGTTGCTATTGACGCGTTTACTTGGCCTTGCTTGATGTTTGTGGGTTGTGCACACATGCGGTTGCTTCATTTCATGGCATGTTCGCAGCCGCTTTCACTGATTCCATTTTAGCTTGTAGCTTTGACAATCATGGATCACGGTGACCTTTTACGAGAGTGTCGTAACCTCCTCTCGTCGCAGATTAGTATACTACTTGCTGGACCACAGCGCATTCAGGGTCAGCAACGGCACTTGCCTACCCCTCAACCGCCACCACCTCCGAACGTGCCGCATGCTAATCCACCTCTTCCACCTGGGCCCAGGCTGCTTCGGGATCTGTGAATCACACACTGCCGCCATTGCCACCCCCTCGGACACCGGCGCCAGCCTCACCGATAGCACCACCAGCAAGGACGTCGGTCAATTCGGCACCCATCACGACTGTTGCCACCTCCGCAACCTTGGCAGATGGAGATCCCATTGAACCTATCAGTGACAGTGCGTCGCGGGAACGTGACCGGAGGCGACGGTCATGAAGGCGAGAAGAACGTCGCCGTCGATCTAGGAGCAGAAGTCGCTACCGGAGACCGCTGAATCGTCGCACACCTCACTTCCCACCAGATCATCGAGGCAAATCACGGCTTCCCTGGACACACCTAAACTTTGCCCCCACAGCGAATCGTAGTGCGGAATCGGATGCGGGGGCAGGTGTGGCGCTCAGGCAACCACGCAACTCACGGCATGGGTTCCGACCACGAATCATTCATTGAGCGCATCGCATCAGACCGTTCAAGATCTCCACCGCCCGTGACATCTCCTCCTCAACATAATCGTCATGCCATTCGCGGAGCAGTTGCTGACCGTGCGGTGCTACATGGAGGCGCACCCGGACCTGACCTTCCTCCACCCAAGATGGCCGCGCACGCTCCCGCCAACGTCAGACGAGGACCCATGACTACACCGACCTCCATTCCGTCCGAGACCCCTGATTCGGACTTGGACCACTCCATTCGCCCGCGTCCGGATGCTTCGTCCTCGTGAACTTCTGCAGGAGTTCACAATTGCGCTTCGCAACGCCTACCATGAGCCATTTACGGCCTAGACTCAAGGGGAATTGGACGAGATGGTCAGGCGTAAGAAGGACAAGGACTCGCGACCCACCTACAAAACAATTGCCCGTTTCCTGCAGAAAAGCACGGAGGAGGTGAAGCATGCCTGGAAAGGTTATCAACGACTTGAAGCGCAGAATTAGCTTCAACCAAGCCGTATGATGACTGCTGCCGCGAAAATCATGTTGATGTTTGTTTTGTGCTTGTTGGTTGATGCTTTCCTTGCATTGCTCAGCATGCAGTCGTGATGGATCAAGCCATGATGGATCAAAATGTTCAGATGCTCATCACCTGGACTCATGGTACACATCCTGCCTGGCTACAATCACGCTCGTGAGTACCCGCGACCACCTCCCCCACTCACTGATCTTCTACTGCCCCCACCTCCACCTCCTCCACCACCTGACCATCCACGCATGGTGGATCATGCCCAGATGATGCGTCATCATACGGCACCAGCAAATCGGGTGCGCGTCCGTTCTGGTGTTCATCAACGTCACTTACGCAGTCCATCGTCTACACGCAGAACGAAACATGCTAGTAAACGAGCTCGAGCCCTGAGAAGTGTCACCGCGTCATCAGCTCCGCGCTACTCGCGCAGGCCACTTACCATATTCGCTGCCCGAAGATCGTCCCGATCCACACGTGCCAGGTCCATAGCCAGCACTACTGCCACGCAATCCTCCTCAAGGGCAAGATGCGCGAACCAACCTGACATTTTCACTGCAGATGCTGGGCCGATCGAAAACGTGAGTGACCCGCGTCCGTAGCTGCCGCCGTAGCTGCTGAAATCATCAGACTCATCGTGGATTGTAAAATTGCTTTTCTGTGCATGTCTTGTTGGCCGTTGTCATAGTGCCGGCTGCCTTGAATTGTCTTGAATTGTCTTGTGTTGTGTTGCGCGGTACTTGCTTTCACAGACATCTCGGTTTCATGGCCACTTGAGTTGTCTCACATCCGTTGTTTCACGCATCATGTCCAATTCGACGATGAATGGGAGATGGACTATACCGCGCTACTTCGACATCGTCGCTGGCCCTGGTGACTACTTCTCCAAATGGATCAGAGTCTACACGCCGGGTCAGTGGCAACCGGTGGTTGACTCCACCATGGGACCGCCTCCGGAACTGCGTCACACCTATCAGGAGTGGCAAAAGTTTTCGCCCGCCTGCATTCCCAGCTGGTCCGCCTACAGCCGTTATGGTGTCTGGAATGCATGGACCTTGCTCAGGCTCCTCCTCGGCATCCTCCTCAGCTTCGGATGGTGCGTGGCGTGCTCCCTCACCGCCACCTGTTCGACCAGGCCCTCCTGATTCAGAATTTGATTGGGAAACAGGGACTTGGGTTAGAGTTCAACAATGAGTGACAATGCTTCGATAAAACCGTTGTGTTCGGTCTTGCATGCCCTTGTTTGCGGTGTTCAGTCGTGCGTGAACCTGTTTGACATGTCTTGTGATGCGTGGCATGATGTGTGAGCTGACTGCAGCCGTGCGTATTCTGGATGGGCTCTCCGGATCTTGTGCAGTCATGCCGTGGGTGGAGTGGGCTCAATGGGTCAAAGTCTTTCACCCAGGCTCGTGGACACTACAAGGCCATCATGTTGAACCTCCCCCTAGCCACACTTACCGAGAATGGAAGTTAATGCCCAAGCAAGTCTACTCCCATGATGGTACTCCATCCATGGTGCAGTCGTGGCACACAAGGGACTGGACTACAGAAGGATACCGACGTCTCCTGAAGCTGAACAAGACCTTGATTCACTTCTTCACCCTGGTCATCACAGCGTGGCTACACAGTCTTCATCCCTGGACATGTCCCCGCAACTGCTCGAGGCAATCTTGCAGTCATCTGATGTTTCAAGCTTCTCCATGGAGGATCTCACCCGTACACAGGCAAGCATTGGCAAACAGCTTGTTGATCGAATGCAACAAGCATCTGGGCTTCACCACCTCTACGCACTACAGATGAGACCGTCCAACTTCCATCAGAAACCGCAGGACTCGCAGAACCTTATCCGACTACGGGCCGGCCCTGCAGTTCGAGCATCCAAGGAAAGTCGATTTTTGAAGCGGGTGTAGAATAGATTGCTGATCACATGACCTGCGGCAAAATGGTGTTGTCATGTTGTCTTGCGTGCTTGTCACTTGTCATTTGTCCTGGACACCCGTATTATTTGTGATTGCAGCTGGATCCCATATCGTGGTTCAACCCTCTCTCTTTCTGCATTGCACCATGGAGATTGACGCCGTGACCCCGCTCCTGGAGTCCAATGGTCCTCAACAAGCATGGCTGGAGTATTCATTCTGGCATGGACAAGATTGGGTGAAAATTTACATTCTTGGGGAGCTCCAACTATGGCGTCAACATGAGGACGTCCCCCCTTTGCCGAATAACACCTATCGGGTGTGGAATCCGGTCGTCCCTGAACACGGTGATCCACAAGGAAATGATGATCAGCGTCAGTGGCAGCATTGGGCCGATCGCTACGAAGCTTGGACCATTCAAGGTTGGCAGCGTCAAGAGGATATTGACACGGCAGGAGTCGTTTGCCCTTCGCAACGCTTCGGCAGAAACGCCGGGTACCATGCAGACTACTGCTACGTCCATTCAGGTGGAACAACTTGGGGCCTCCACAACGTCGCCCTCAGCATGATCGTTCCCTGATGAACCTTATCTCCAGTTCTCCTCCCCCGACTGACGCAACACTTCAGTCTTCGTTGATCTTTCCGCCCAGATCGCAACCATTGACCATGCAGCGGGGTGTACCACTTCCAGCTCCGCATTTCGACTCTGTGTCCCCGTCTTCTGAGCGTACTCAAGCGGAGCGTGCTAATTCACGTTCTCCTCACCGCTTCGGATATTTTGGTAGACACTAGTAGGAACTCGCTGATTTGGTCTGCCGGATGAAAAGTTGCTCTCGCCCCTCGCTGAGGGGCGTGTGTGTGCGGAGTGGCAGAACACCCTGCCACCAATCTTAGTTATGTCTACTACAACAGGGGGCAGGAGCACCATGGCAAGTCTCCTGCCAACGAAGACACTTGCCATCGGTGGTGATACTGGGGCTGATCATCCCAGCGTACCTGTGCGTGCAAAGTGATGTTGCTGAAAGTCCTTTTCTCTTGGCCCTCTTCTTTCGCCGCTGTGTGTGCTTTTTGTTGAATCTTGTAACGGTTTCGTCACTAGAGGGAAGCCAAGCGACTGTGAGCCGAAAACCCACCCACTCGAGATTCATCGGTTGTACTCGAAGGATTAGCACTCTCCCTTGAGAGTTGAAGTGTGGGCTCTGGGCGGCAGTTTTGACCGTATGATGAGTTCGGAGAGTTTTGCGCGAGTTCGGGCTGGTGTCATGGAACTGTTTGACTTTTTCTGACCCTCTAAATACGTTCACAATTCATTTTGAGAAAGCTCCTAGCCTTTCGGCACCCCCGCTACGACTTCTGAGCAGACACGTCTTACTCGCAAAACAGGTTTCCCTAAAAGTTCCGAACTCGTTCTTTTTCAAGGCTCACTCTGGGAAACCCCAAAAGTTCTGGTCTTGCCTGCGACCTGCAAAACGGGACAAGTTTCCTTGAAGGGACACGCAGCAAATGCGTTGCGATTTGGATTGCGGTTGCATGTCCCCTAGGTACGTGCTGGCTTTGTCGGTGCTGGTGGCAGCGGAGCATTTGATCCTGAGCCGGGAGAACCCCATCGAGCCTTTGTGGATCACCTACTACGTGTTCATGACCCTGAACTTCGACAACATGCCGCCGGGCTCTGCCAACTTTGGGCTTTTGCCCTGTAGATATTGCATAGCTTTCTTTGGACCTAAGACACGCCCAAACAAGGTCGATGTTTCCCCCTGTTGGTTCTGAATGAGGGAACCCTCGATTGGCGGTTTGCATTGGTGGACACCAACGTAAGTGAGAGTGGGTGCACCCCAACAGAAAAACATGTTGTGTGCCATTTGGTTTGGACACAAGGTACGGTGGCCATAAGTGGGAATTGTCTTTTTGGAGCAAACTGGAAGCCCTGGGTAGAAAGCCGTGGCTCCCAACAATTCGATTGGACGGCCACCAAGCAGTTCCTTGACGGCTGTCGCTACGTTGCGTCCCGGCGCGAGAACTCAGGTTCAACTTCTGGGCACTGTTTTCTGCTTTTCCCAAGCTTCACCTCCTCCAAAATCCGACCGTGACAAGAGCTGGTTCCTGCCGCCAGCCAAGGGGCACAGATGAGGGTTTGCCGAGATTTCCCTTGACTCAACTATGAACTTTGAGCTGATTGCCCCATGTGTGAAGTCTGGTGCTATGCGGGGTTGGTGACAGAAACTGAGCGCTCACTGCACCACTCACCGCGCTGTCCGTTTCAGGGCTCCAGCCCTTGAAGCCGAATTTTCGGCGGGAGGATTCTGTCCACATTCCCAGCGAACGGGAAATCACGTTCTTGGAGCACCGCAATCTTCTGACCGGCCCACTCAGCAATTTGGTTTCTTCTTTTGTGATGCAAAACCGAACCGCCGGAAAACGTCGGCCTTTTCCGTGTTGCGATGGGGGTTGCTGGCATTGGAGGCTTGTGAACTTTTGGCTCTACGTGCAGAACATGGAGCGCACCAGGCGAGGGCGCACGAGCTACTTGGGCTCCCTACATCCCAACGGACCATCCCTGTTTTGCACACGTTTCCCTGCGGGAAAAAAAACGAAGCTTTTGATACTGATGCAGTCTCCAGTGGTTGTGGTTAACGCTTCTGTTGTGAATAGCAACCGATAGCGAAAGATAGCTTTGATTCAGTGTTAGGGCAACCGGACTAAACAGAAGCCACGTATGTGAGCCGTTGCTGATGCTCAGCTGTCAGATGCCATTCAAATGAAAGCACATTCTTTCCCCACCCACTCTTCCCTTATCACCCCTTCCATTGCATGCCCCTACGCCTTTGTTTCATTGCGGGTACAGGATCCAGACACGATGTGGTTCTTGTGCAGAACTTCACGGCGCAAGACATATCATGGATCCCCGATTGGACCCCAAGGGAGACATTTTGCAAGTGCGAAGCCCAACACACATACGTCCGCGCCTCAGTGTACCCTTTTCTTCATTGGGGAGCAAGTCACTAGTTAGTTGGTGTTGGAAAAACTAGCGATTGGCTTGGCCTAACGATAAGCAGACTTATGGTCATCTACGGAACTTTTGTTTCTCTGGACAAAACAAGTGTTTCTTCTGAGGTCATGCTTATACTCTTTTGTCGCGTGTGCGGAGAAGTTAGTCTCCAATGGAGATACACACATTCTCCGTGTGAAAGGTTTGTTTTTATCTCGAAAGCACATTGTGAACTTTTTTGCCTTTCGTTTCACAAACCCTAGAATGGCTACTTTGGAAACTTGGAAAACAAACGTTTCATCAGAGAGTGTAGCTTGAAAGGGAACTCACAAGTAAACGGTTCCGAAACTCACGTTCCAGACAAAGTATTGTTCAACGCTGAGTAAAAACATTTCAAAATCTTGGGCTGTGAGTTTGTTTCCCAGCGGGCAAACTCTAGTTTCGCGTCAGAAAGTTTGTTGTAGCCACAAGAAAGTTAGTTTCGAAACCTTTGTTTTGGTAGCGTTTTCCTGGTAGTTTGGGGTGGGTTGGGGTTGGTTTGCGGTGGCTTGTACGGTGGGTGTTGAGCGGGTTTATGGGTTGGTTTAGTGTGGGTTTCGAGTGGTTTCGGTGGGGTATAGGGCTGATTTCGGATTGGTTATATGGGTCCTTAGGGTTGGGGGTTGGTTCAGGTTCATACCGGTTGTTTTATGGTTGGGGGTTTAGGGCCAGGGTCATATTCGCAGGATAATGGGGTTGTCCTGGGGGGGGGGGGGGAAGGAAGGGTGGGGGGGGAGTGTGTTTCATCTAGCCAAATCATTTTGCAGGCGTCATTCTGCATGCAGTTTCCACACATGTCGCTTCTTAAATCGCGCGATTTCCCCCGTGCCACTCTTGCGCACGTTGCACGCATTTCTGTTTGCATTCGCATGTTTAACTTCCATGCGTGAGTCCTATGCCGTTTTTACACCTTGAGGCGCCAATAGAAAAATGAAGACTTGCGGGGTAGACGAAGACGAAGACGTTAACAGAGGCAGGCGTGCGATTACTATCAAGGAAGCAAGGATCGCAACGCAGAACACACGCAATTCACAACTGCCAAGCCACTTGCTGGCAATGCTCAGGCTGGTGATGCTGAGGATGTTGCTGGTGATGCTGCTGCACGGGCCGAAGAAACTAACAAAGTCTGCTTTCCAATCCTGGAAATGTTTGTTTCCCGTCCATGAAGCTGACGTTTCAAATGCTTGTTTCTGGGCTCTCCCCTTCCCCCTAGGCGGAAAGGTCCACCCGAAAAACCTAACGTTGTCGGACCGGCCCCGAAACTAACGTTTTATTTGATTTTTTTCTCCGGCCAGGCAAGCCTTTGTTTTTGCTTGAAAAACACACACTTTCTCTGTTTGAGTTAGTTTGTTTCCCTGCCTGGGGGCGGCCGGCACCGTGTGACTAAGCTTCACGCAAAGAGTTTCCACCGAGGAAGCTAATGTTTGTTACTCTAGTGTAGAAGCTTCTGACTCGCTCCATGGTCCTTTTCTTCTTTGACTTGGCCATCGATGTGGCCAGGACTTGGAGGGTAGAGCTGGAGAAAGCAACTGCCAAGCCCCAGGAGCGCCGCAGGCACGGCGCGACCAAGAAACCGAGAATAACCGAAAGTGACTGCGTGACTGCGTGACTGCGTGACTGCGTGTGCGTGTGTGTGTGTGTGTGTGTGTGTGTGTGTGTGTGTGTGTGGGTGGGTGGGTGGGTGCGTGCGTGCGTGCGTGCGTGCGTGCGTGCGTGCGTGCGTGTGTGTGTGTGTGTGTGTGTGTGTGTGTGTGTGTGTGTGTGTGTGTGTGTGTGTGTGTGCGCGTTCTTCTAGGGTGGTTTCAAGGCAAGTTAAATAAAGGAACGCCATTATTTTTGGGTCCCCCCTTCTCTCTGGTTCACCTTCTCTACTAGATGGGAATGGAGGACAAAATATCCAAAAACCAAGCCAATCATCCCTACGATTATTTGTGGACCACGTAAAACAGATAACGACTCACCATGGATTGATCAGACCGCGTGAAGGATGTTTGATGTACACCTCAAAGGGAAGAGCTCCCTGATATCACTTGAAGGCCAGAAACGCCTGAAGGCCACTGAGCGGCGATTTTGGGATTTCAAGAGAGGTGTGACTGGCAGCGGCTCTTCGTGCTGTGGTTGCCCTTCCTGCTGTCCGTGATGCTGACGGTGTGCTGCCGTGCACCTTGGCCGAGATTGGCTAGGGGGTACACCTGCAGGGTGTGAGGGGATGGGGCTCGGTTGAGGTGGGCTTGGGAGGGAGGGTTGTGGGGTGGAGTTGGGTTGGGCGAGGAAGCTTACACAGAGAAGCCTTTTTTCCAGGGTCGAGGATCCCATCATCATTTGCCCACCCCCACGTTTGCCAATATCAAGTCTGACGAATTCGGATTTCGGTTGCGACCATTCTGTTTTGGGACCTTGGGAGGGTGTGATACAAAATGGGTATGCAAGGAGGGTGCCATTGTTCCCACAAGTCCCCAGGCCCTCAGCCCCCTGAAGGTGTGGAATGTGCTGCCTATGACTTTCCTGTGCTATGGCTACGTGACCAACGAACAGCCAGTCGTCCCTCGGCCAACGCAGATTCGTCAGAATGTGTCAGCTTTGGAAGCCTTAGGACCGCTCACAATATTTTGCTTCGATCTCTGTTTGGCACGACCCAAAGCGGGGTGCCTTGTTTTGACAAGTACCCATTCCGGGAAAAAGCAAACACGTGGCCTGCTTTGTGCCTGCTTGAGCCCCTTGGATGAAACGATTCGAGAGCCGCATCACTGGATAAATGGCTGCAACCGAAGAAAACCTCCCAACACTCCCCCTCGTATTTTATAAGATTTACATCTAGCAGTGATCTTGATCTCGACAACTTTCTATCTTATGGTCGTATCTTGACATGTAATTCTTACCTCTTATTTGTATTTGTTTCTTTTTTTTTTCAAATATCTGTTCAGGAAGTGGGCGGTGGTTAGCCAGGTTGGGCTCACAGAAGCTGTCAGAAATTTGGGGGATTGGTTGCGGGCCGGTCACTTTCAGTTGTTCTCGTTTTCGCAAGTGCTTGTGATGCCAGGACGGGCAGTGCGTTCTTTTTGTTTGGTGTGACCTTTTGGTTAGTCATGGCATTTCCTGGTTCGGGCAAGCTTGAAGGACGTCTCAAAAAGGAAGTCCACATTTGCGATAGTCTGGAAAGCAGTTGCCCAATTTTTGCCCCCGTGCCCCACAAAGTACGAGACCCCCTTTCGAATCACTGGTTTCCAGTTTCCCTTTAAGCCCTTCGTTTCCTAATTGCCGTCTTTGTTGCAGTTTCGAAGAAAGAAACACCGTTTGTGGCTCAAGGGTCGTGATGCTTTGCGCAGACGCACAGGCCATGCTGTCGAACCTCAATCTCCCTGGCGGTTGCTGCTCTGCAGTGGCGCAGATCAATAAGAGCCAGCCCTCGGGCAACGTCATCAGCGTAAGCGGCTCGTCCAATATGGGCTTGTGTTTTGTTGAGGGCACCGTGTTTTTATTTTGGGTCCACCTATTTTGACACATTCAGATGTCATACTTGTTGTCTGGAATTTGATGGCACTTTGGTTTGCAACAAAAGTTGGGCGAAAGACATCGCACCTGACAAAAGGGGTTTGGTTTGCGATCTCACCCACGAAGGCTCCTTCGTTACTGTGGAGAACACTTATTTTGGCTTGGGGATTACCACATTGTGCCCGGAGTGTTTGTCAAACTCAGTCTTTGAGAACCAAGCCCCCCAAAGATATTTAGTTGGACAAAGGCTGGACCATGCGCAGCGCTTCAGCCCTATGCTCAAGCGCATTGGGATTGACTCGCCGATTCGAATTGTTGGCTTCACTTCAAAATAGCATTTGTCAAACCGGGGCCAACCTTGAGGGATTCCTATTTGCGTACTTTTGGGTCACGGTGGTTTACCCTTCAAACAACACTTGAGTTATTTTGGGGACGCACCAAAGTGCACCCAATCAAAGAGGAATCTGTTTGGATCGGGCCCTTTGTTTTCAAGGGGCTGTGAATTTTCCCAAGGCAACGTCACCCGATGGGACGCTCCCTTCCGGTTTCTGGAACGAACATGTGTGAGCTTATGGGTTTGGGGATGGCGAATTTCGGGGTCCCTGCGCACCTGAGGACCTCTCCCCGAGCAAACATCCCAAACTTCTCCAACTCCGACACCGAGGCGTCCCTTGCCTGGCGCGGGACGCCCCCGAGGACGACCTCGGGGGCAAGCTGCGGCCAATCGTGCCCGGGGGCGCAGAGTTTCAGAGTTTCAGACGTACTTCCCACTTACCCCAAGAATACATTCCCCGTCATAAACCTAGGGTGTAACACGGATTCGGACAAACCAGGTCTCCTTCGCTTGCATCACATGACGCAGGATGAACGCATCTGGAAGCAAGGTCTGGGCGCCCTAATTTGCGAAATTAACTTCTTGAGATTTAGACAAAGTACGAGAATTGCACTGTGCTTGCAACACGGGCAAACAACAAGCTTCTTTAGTTGCATCTGTCAAGCCACAGCTCAGGCCAGTACGAATCCCTAGGGAACGATGTCCATGGCCAACATTTGGCAGAGATTTGATGGCAAACTGCCTCCTTTTGGTTGACTCCTCGTGGTTTCATTTTGTGTTGCCTTTTTCAAAGGGGGTCCAAAACAGCCGTGATTTTGACCTAGTCGTCAAGCCGGGCGATTGAGCCTTCGACTTAAACTTTGCCAACCCACTGGGCAGCACACACTCTGCGCGAAGCCCCGGCCAAAAAAATATCGCCGTCACCGAGGCGTCAACATGTGCACTTGACCAATTCTCCATCGCTTCCGGCCCCATGCAAACTCCGAGGTATTGGGTGGCCTGGCCAGGCCGCCGCGTCGCGCCCAGCAGCCTGCAGGTCCGCGAGGGCCGGGGCGGCGACGGCTCCAGGGCCCTGCTGGCAGGTGGGAGAGCGGGTGGGGTGAGAGATTTTCCATCCGAAACAACTTGGTAAGTGCCGAATGTCATGCTCAAGAAGAAAAACTCTTTGAGATTTCTAGGAAGGTCTGTACTGCGCTTGTCACCGCAGGTGATGCTGGTGATGCTGTCACTGCAGTCTTTGAATGATGCCAGCAATTTGCTTTCTTCAGGCTGTTTGCTGTAGGGATTCTCGAGTCTCTCGACACGTGCAAACCTTCAATCCAGGTTAGACACACAAAGACACAAAGCGCCCGAGCTTTGGGCTCCTCAAGCCGTTCCACTGACAATCCGCGGGTTTGGGGTCGAGGCTCCGTGGTGGCCAAGCCGCTGGAGCTGGTGCCCTGGATGCAGAGCCACGACTACAAGGCGGGACGGGCGTTCGAGGCTCGGGCCAGGCTGAGGGATGGCTGGAGTTTCTGACAAGCTGGGCCTCTGACGGTTGTGACTTGTCTTGAACGATATTCCTGACTTCGCTGAGTTCGCCGCATCTTTCACATGTGGATGTTGGCTCTATTTCGCTGAAGAGCTTGCGCTTCGACACAAGACAAGCTCATAGGCCATGAAACACATTGTGCTTGCGCCCACTGAGCCACGCTACCAATGCCTTTTTGGCCTCAGATAGCTAAAAGGTTCTAACTTCTGATTCTAATAATGAGGGGAAGGTGTTTTGCGAGATTGAGGACTGGGTGCTAGGGGGCGTGCAGTTTGCGGTGCTGGTGCAGGCGGTTTTGGGTGACGGCGCGGGCGGTAGGGGGCATGCAGTTCGGGGTGCTAGCGCTGCTGAAGGTGCGGGCGCATGCTTGCAAGATCGCAAGCGCTGTTTTGGACTGCTGTGTGAGGCGCTTGTAGGCGCAGGTGTGGTGGAGGTTCTGGTGACGGTGCGCGTTTTCAGGACCACCCCTAGCCGGGCCCCTACCTCCCAGCCGTCATTGTCGCAAAACACTTTCCGTCGAAGTTAGAACCCCTATAGCTTTCAATTATTTGTGGAAAACACAGCACCAGCGTCAGCACTCGCCATCACCCCAAACTGCACGTCTCGTAGCACTCGTGCCATCAATCTCGCACAAATGTTTGGGGCGCTGGTGCAGGGGCTGCTTGCCGCGCGGCTGGGTTGTGCTTTTTTTTGACTGCAGTCCGGGTGCTCTTTCCGTTGTTGGTCGTTTGGTGCGCTCAAGGCGCGCGGTGCCATGCTTGGTGCGGGGGCTGTTGTGGATGCTGGTCTGGGTGCTGTTGCGTGCTGGTCTGGGTGGGTGCTGTTTGGCGTGCGCAGGGTGGCTGCTGGCGTTGCTCTCTTCGCGATCCTAGGGTGCCGCTTCGGGTGCTGGTCAAGAGCTATGTGTTGGGGTGTAGGACGCTGCTTGTGCTTATGTGTTAAAATCATCATAATGCCATTAAACTTACTTGATTGTGCTTAGCTGTGTTCATGGTTCGTGGCTGGGGTGTCATCAGAATGCTGCCAAAATCATCACGACACTGCTAAGCAGATCGTAGGACTGCTTGTGCTCACATGTAGCGCGTCATGGTTCGTGGCTGTGGTAACATCATGATGCTGCAATCATCATGATGCTGCTGGATTCATTAGCACGCTTTCGGTGCGTATATCTAGCACGCAGAGGTACGCGGCTTTGGTATCATCGATGATGCTGAGTTGAGTAGGACGTTGCCTGTCTGTATATGAAGCCGATAATGGTTTGCCTGAACTGACTAAGGACATTGTTTGTGCACATATTTATCGCGTAATGGTTCGTGGCTGAAGCATCATCATGATGCTGTGAACACCGTCATGATGCTGTTGATTCATTCAGACGCAGTCTGCGCAAAGGTTCGTAGCCGCGTTATCATGATGCTGCCAAAATGATCATGATGCACATGTGTTTCTATGGACATAAAACAAACAATGGTGCGTCCTTGCAATGTCAACGTGCTTCCTGACTGGCGGAGTTGATTCGCCGTAGTCCCGGTCAACTCTCCCATACTATCTGGCTGGTTAATTTTCAGGCATGAAGGCGGCGCTTGGGCTCTAGTCCAACACCCGCCTATGCCCACAACACTTTCCTCGTGGCTCATCCCACACCTGAAGTCGAATCGGCTCAACACCATGGAGCCGCCCATATCTCCGCATTTCAAGCAACTTCGCAGGGTGTTTGTTGACTTTGGGCCACTCGCCGAGTCAGTGCAGCCTTGCCGCCTCAAACCTGCAGGGCTCGCAGATCCGGAAAGTCTTCGAAGAACTCACGGACGAGGAGGACGGCCTGGGGCCCCTCCGCAGATTTCGTTCAACTTCCATTTTGTTTCTAAGGAAAGTGAATGCTCATGAGCAATCACAGATCACCACGGCTTCATGCTGGGTTCGCTTATAGACTCGTTACGGATGTCTAGCTGAGTCACTCCGCTTGCCATTTCCCTTCATTTCCCCGGCCTGGACAACATCCCCCGCATCCACTGCATCCGCACCAATGTCCGTGGATGCAAGCGATGCAGGCGCCGGGGATGCTGTATGGATGGAACATGTTGCGTTCTCTGGATGTTCATTTGTAGGGTCCTCATAATTTTACGATGCATTTCGTCGTCGCTAGTTCTTGTTGTCAGGGTTGTCATGTGTGCATAAGACGTGAGAGGGATGCGAGAACTATCATGGTCATCATAATCTTGCTTATGATGATGGTGAGGTCCATCAAACACCTGTAGACCAGGACTGGAAGCAAAACCTAGTACTACTCCATTAATCCGGCCAACCAAAAACTGCCCTGGCTGCAAGGCTCATTTTTTGCGTGCATGGAAGAGAATCTTAGGAGGGGAGGCCCACGCCCCTTCTGGATCGTCCGGACGGAAAGCCCTGACTTTAGAGAGGGGTTTCCCGCCCCCCCTTTCAGTTCCCCCGAAGTCCGAAGTTCCACACATATTTTTTTGTCTGGCGGTTTTGACACTCTGAAAAGGTCTCACGTTGGATCCAAGGATGTACCGCTTCACCTTTCCCTTTGTGGCGGAGTTCCAGGCGCAGCCATGGCCCTGGACGGAGGAGGCCAAGATCTACGCGGTGGCGCAGAACGTGCGGACAGGACCCAACGAGTGTGGAGAAAAACGTGGTCTACGGCCCAAGTTTGCGGATAGAGTTGTTCTTCTTTCAAAGGTGAAACAAATGAAACTTTGATCATAGAATAGTAAAGACCAAGATCACTTGCTTTAGCCGGGGAGGGTGGGAATGGCTGCCAGCCCAGACTTGGGCAGTGGACACAACACGACAAGTTCAGCTTATCACATGGCAACTGATTCGGCCCTCTTCGTGAAGAAGGGGTTTTGTTTGACCTTCCAGACTCCATGCTGCCAACCAGAAGGTAAAAAGAATGGACACCACTGACACCACTCCTCCAAATTCGGCCTTTTGTGTACTCTTTGGTTGCCATGGCAACGACTGCCTTTTGAAACTCTCCCGGCACCAGGCAAGCCGACAAAGATTGGCTTCCTGTTTGAAAGCCAACACCCACATCTGAATAAAGTAAACCATCAGTTTGAACAACACACCTTTGAAGAAACAAAAAGGAAGCGTTTCCCATTCAGGGACCCAGACAGGCGCGCTCAGTGCGCTGCCAGCGCCATCCAATGTGCTGCACAGCGGCTTGACCTGACATGGGCCGGTGCTTGATTCTGCACGCAAAAAAGGGGCCTTTTGGGTCCAAACGGAGGAAACGCAGTGACCCAATCGCAGATTGCTTTTCTTTACCCATACGTATTCATCAATCCCTGATTGATTCGAGGTGGTTTTCGCTTAGATTGAGCTTGATCCATTTCAGGAGGACGGCCCATGCTGTTGGACCTTCTTGGGAAAGGGTCGCATGCTCTTCTATTGTTCTCTAGGTTTCTTGTTGAGCCTGCTGGGCAATCTCCTTCATGATGAATGCTTCTTGAGCCCGCAGTACTGAACAAACACTTGCGACGAGCAGGCAACCACAATGGCCTAAAATGCAGGAATTCTCTCCCAAGAAAGGGAACGGTTCAGGGCCTTTTGCTCCCACGTTTCAGAATGCGCACTCCAGGGACACCACACCTGCAAGCCAAAGGGCTAAAGTTTTTGCTGCGCCTAGAAACTTAGGGCCAAATACGGTCCAAGGCCTACCGCCAAGCATTGTTTGGAGCGTTGAAAACACCTAGGGCACCGGTTTTCGGTCGGCGCGTGAGGCAAGCTCTGCCCCCCGCACTGCGAGCAGTGTAACCGCCAGGGCAAGTGCCGAAAGTGCCAGGCGGGAGCGCTAGGCCCAGCACTGATCTCTGGTTCTGCACCAGTGCTCTTTGAGCCCTTTTGGGGTTGGTTGAAAGGAAAACTAAAAAGGAAGCCAATCTGTTTGAGAGTCTCCATAAGGCAAGACCTGTAGGTGAGCAAGTTGCCTCTTTTGGCATCCGCAAGCAAACCAGCACGACACCAAAGGCATTTGGCCATGTCACGAGAGTCAGCTCGAGTGGTTGGGGAGCGAACCTCCAGGGTGTGGGGGGGCCAGGTTGCAGTGGCGAAAACGCAGATAAAGGGGAAACGGCTGGCACCTTTTTTGCAGATTTTCAGTCTTTTCTATCCTCAATTCAAGGCGGATGATGCTGGTGATGCAGGGTCCGCATCCCCAGCACCCTCAGCATCACTCGGTCACGTCTCCCACATCACCTCTGCAACCATGACTGTTTCTTTTGGGAGCCCACTCTTGGATGCCCGCAAATCTTTGCCTTACCAAAACCGTGCTTTTGTTTTTGCTCCTCCCTCCCAAAGCACAGTTGTTTGGATCCCCTCTTGCTCTTTGCCTCGCGGATTTTGGGAGTCCCTGCATCACCTCTGCATCCACAACGCTCTTCAGGAGCCCCTCTTTCATGCCTGTTGTCTTTGGGAGCTGAACTGCGACGCTCGAGTTTTGGTTCTCTTAGGTTTGCTGGTGTGCAAGCAGGTGCACCAACATAAATCTTGCAAACGCTCGTAGCGCGCCCGAAGCCGCCTCCCAGCACCCGCTTTTCTGAGGATCGCAAAGGAGCCGCTAGGTGTAAAGCAAGTCCCATGAGTTATTTGGAAATGAGTCAACCTACCAGTTTTGAGGTCAAATTCCAACTATCTAAAACAGTGGCCGGACCTGCGCACGTGAGGCCGGGTCCGTGATCCACGGCGACAGCTGCCTCGTGTGCGCAGAAGGTGCCGGAGGGGGGGAAGCCAACAGGGAGCAACAGAGATTCGATTTCCAGGAAACTATGTCACAGCTGTTGGGACATGACATCAGCCCTTGAGCCTTGCCATTTTGTCAACCCAGTTCAAGCAGGTTTTTGTCCGCTATCTTTCAAGCAACCTCATTTTGGTTTTTCTAAGAGTTATGAAGCTCAAGGTCAGCCCAAGGCCAGATCCACTCGAAGCGGACGGCCGGGGTTGGAAGGCTGCAGCAAGTGCGTGGCGGAGCAGAAGACCTGCCTCGAGTGCGAGGCGAGGGTGCCGGACGCGTGCAAATACGGAGGAAAAACCCGCCATGGTTTGCGGAAGTGTCATCATCTAAATTGGGTCGGGACGTGGGGGCTTTGGCCACGGCTTGCCGTTGGTCGTGTCTCTCTCCCTCTCGCTCTCTCTCCAAATTGGGTCGGCCCATCTTTTTTCATACCGCTGACTTCCCAAGTTTCTGGTCATACTTTTGGTGGTCGCGAGAGTGATCCGGCACACCCGAGGTGCTGGACTTTAGACCGGGAAGGCCATTTCAGGAACAAGCAAGCGTGGTCTTTCTTTGGCCAAACTCAGGAAGTGAGGCAACTGGAAGACTTTCATGAGAAGTGAGAGGAGCTCAACAAAACTGGAGAACTTCGTGCGATCTGGCATGGGACCCGTTTGTTGGAGCCTTCTGTTAATTTGCATGGGAGGGTCCCGAGAGGGAAGGGGGTCATGTTCATTTTTAGAAATCAACGGAGTTCCCAAGAGTTAGACAACGTCCCTACCAGCCTAACTGATATGGAGGTTTTCACACCAGCCAGTTCGCTCCGGGCAGGGGTTCAAGCTTTGGTTCAGCTCTTCTTCCCAGGACACAGTTGCGAGTTTTGTTTGTAAGCATCAGGCTGTCATGATGCTCATTATGATCGCGGAATTCGTTTTGCACAAAATGTCACGTGTTTCAGCATCCATACCATGTTGTGTTGAAGTGAAACCACCATAATGCTTCAGGTAGTTGATTGCCTGGTTTTCGAAGTCATGGACTGTTTTTGCGGAACGTGCAAATCCTTCAGAGACCTTCAACGAAAGAAGCAAAGCTTCACAACACGCGACCCGGCTGAGTGTGCGTGCCTGAAGCCAGGGCACATTCAAGCGGCTACACAAGAGTTTGGAGCAAACCAGAAACCTCAGAGGAAGATGAGGCATGGGTAGGGAGCAATCAACATGTGCATGTTCACTTGTGAGGGAAGGCCACTGAATTTGGAGAGGCAATCAAATCACCAGCGAGCTGATTTGGCAGTTGGTGTGGGGTTCCCCACATGTTTCTTCCAATCATGGACGTGGACAGGAGGCCTTGTCAAGATGATAAGCAACAACGTAATTAGTAGTATGATAATATGTATCATGCATTGAGATATCTAAACCAGAATGAGCTACAGTAAGGGATCATAAATGCCGTAGAAAAAGAAGAAGTGTATATTGACTTGATGGTGCTCATAAAGTAACTAACCACGCCCCTTTTTTTGGTGCCGGTTGGAATTGGAATCACCATTATAAGAATCTATATGTGTCAAGATTGTGGAGGGAGAATCGCCCCTGGCCAACAGCGGCGGAGGCTCAGCAAATGGTTTCCTTTATGGGGATCCCTTGGTTTTCCCAAGGCCCCTCTTGATTTCGATTCTGAGAAGCAGGCTCTGCGTTTTGGCGGCGAGCGCGCGAACGCACGGGTTGAACCAAAGCTTCGTGGCACGCCGCGCTTCCACGAGCCTGTCATCAGCCAGATCTGAAAACTGTTTCTTGCTCTGGAGCTCCTCATCGAATGCCTCGGTCGCTTTTCTTGTGGTTCCAATGCTCCGGCAAGTGGGGTAGCCCTCATCACTTCAGTGCACAGGGCAGGTCATTCGGGGTTGCACGGCTGCTTGCCCATCTGTCCTCAAAGTTCCCCTTCAGAAGGGCATGTGTGCCGCTGTTGCTGGTTGCCATGTTTCGTATCCATGGCGTTGTGCCGGTACAGCTGGCTCTTCAAAGTCCTCCGGTCTTAGGACTTAATCCGCCATCGTGAGTAGAACATCTTGCCGATGGTCAGGGGCTGTCCTTTCGCGGGGGCTGGCCGACAAAAACCGTCTTGAATCCGGCGATGCTCAAGGGGCCCCTTGCCGCAGGTCTCCGAGGGGATCGGACCTTGCCCAACTGCCAATGGTCTACCAGTATGAAATTACTTGCCACGCAAAAGGCAGTGCGATGCCTACCTGCCACGACCACTTCGTTCAAAGGGAGGGAAATCAAACACACCGCATCACTTTTGGGTGCTTTGCTTCCCATCGAATTTTCAGGGGCCCGTTTTTTGGAACCTGAGCCTTGACTTTTGGTTTCCCTGGCGCACAAGCGTCGTAGCTCCAAAGAGGCGGGCTTCGGTCTGGTCACCACCCTGGCCTTCGCCCAGTGCATGCCCTGCGACAGCCAACACTGCCAGCAATGCGACGGCAAGCTCGAGGCAAGGGTCCATTGACAGAGTGGAGCCCGGGTTGGGGGGTATGCTAAGCTAGGATTGTGTGTTTTTTTTGTTAATGTTGAAACGCATGTGGAAACATGAACTGTGTTTGAAATGCTTGACCATAATGGCGCATGCCATTTTGGCTCAAGCTTTGCCCTGGGTTCTTTGAAACCAACTTGTGTGAAAAAGATTTGAGTTTGAACACCCTCGAACTAACCCCGATCAAGCAATGGCTTCCTCGGCAACTTCGGCAACCTCCTTCGAGCTGATTGAGGACCAGACGCTCACCGCGGAGGAGGTGGAAATGGCCAGCCAGGAGGCCCAGGAAATTCGCACACGCGAGGCGGCAGTGGCGGCCGGCCTGGTGTTGGACGAGCCCGAGGCCCCCCCGTCGGCTTCGGCTACCGACGTGATGAATGACCTCTCCAGTGCACTGGAGCGTCTCCGTGTGGCGTTTGCCACACCGACTTCCGGCTTGGGTGCCCCTGGCCCCGCCGAGGAGGAGGACAAGGACATGGAAGATGCGGACGTCACGGAGCGGGCTACTCCACTGGAAGAGGCACAGACACCACCCACGAAGAGGCTGAAGGGTTTCGTGGCGGCTTCCCAGAAGACCACGGCTCACGTGAACAAACCGGTCTCCCTGGTGCCGGTGGAGGGCCGTCCCGGCTACTTCAAGTTAGTGGACCTCCCAGACCTTTTCCCGGTCCTTCCGGCATCGGCGGCCACGTTGCTGAGGGACGTCACGGTGGAGGAGGCGGTCTCCCTGTTCCACAAGTTTGTCGGGAAGAATCTCACGGAGGACTTGGTGATTCGCATCCTGGAGGCCTATGTTCCGATGAAGATCCAGATCCGGCAGGAGGAGGTCTGGGCCTCACAGTTCCAGAGGAACAAGGCGTGCATTGGCACCCAGCGGATGCACAGACTCGATGCAGGCCACTCAGATTACAAATTCATGTGCAAGGCATGCGGCACGGGGTGGCCAGAGGCAGCCAAGCAGTGCTGGGTCTGCCCAGGCAAGGAGTTCGTCCCCTTCCAGGCACCCTCGGCTACCTATGAGGCGGACGGCATCACCTACAACCTGCTCATTGTGGAGGGCAAGCCGACCTGGATCCAGCAGCGGAAAGGGGGAAGCCTGGGTGCCGCTGGCCCCGGTGGTACCCGGGCACAGGCAGACCGCAACCTGGTGGACGGCACGGTCCTGGGGAGAGCTCCTCCGAAAACGGACACGGCAGAGGAGATCACCATGGCAGACGTGGTCCCGCTCAACAGGCGGGTGGACATCCGGCAGGAGATCCTGTCCATGGAGGCGGACGACGAGGCGTTGAAGGTCCGGGAATGCCAGGAGATCAAGGTCAAAGTGCAGCGGTCCCTGAAGGAGGCGGAGGCGCAGAGCTTCCAGCTCTACCACCCCCAGGTGGACCAGGCGATCCGGAAGAAGGAGGAGCTGCATAAGGCCTTGAGGGAGCATCGGGAACTGAACTCGGAGGAGTCCTCGGCCAGGCGACGGCACAAGGAGTTGGTCACGGAGGAGATGCTGGACAATGAGATGGCTATCCTGGCGCCTCTCCAGGAGGGCATGCAGGCCCTGCCGTCAGAGGAGGTGGCCAATGAGGGAGCCCGTGCCCTCAGGAAGGTCAACCTGGAGCGATTCAAGGCCAAGCTGCAAGACCAGTACCTGGAGGGGAAGGGCGTTGACGCCAGCCAGGCGCTGGCTGAGGCGATGGGCTCCATTCAGGAGGCTCAGGAGGCAAACAAGCGCACCCAGGACACCAACAGGCATGGATGCTTAACCACACTCTCAAGCCCTTGGAAGTGTCGGCGTGGCCAGATGATCTCAGGCAGGCACTGGAGAGGGGGCTGTTCTGCCCCCTGGAGCTGGATGACCCCGAGGACATCCCCAACGTGGGAGACATCAAGGAGAAGTATGTCCCCTACATCAGGAGGCTCAGAGAGTCGCAGAACCCATGGCACCAGGAGGCGCTGCTGGAGGAGATGCCCGATCTGGCGACACCGGCCCCCCCCAAGATTGCCACTGGCCCCGGGGGGGACCAGCCAATGTCACAGCAGGACCTGGACTCGGAGGAGGGCAAGCTGTCCCTGCTCCTCTGGGCGATGAAGAGGCACCAGGGGGAGCTACGGATGTTTGGGGGGATCTGGAAGAAGCGCTCGAGCGGTGAGATCCCCAAGGGCGCTGACCAGCAATTCAAGCTCACGCCGGAGGAGCTCCTGGCCCTGGAGCGCAGGACTCACCCACTCACGTGCGAGCAGGACCACATCGACCCAGTCATCTACACGGCCTTCCGAGCGCAGGTGAACCGGGGCGAGCGCCCGGCGCCGGAGCAGGTGGTGGGGATCTTCTGGGCAAAAGGTGATGGGGTGTTTTGGACCAGGCAGACGAGAACGTGGGACCTGCCGAGCCTGACGGGGGTGTACGCCCACAGGTTCACTTTCAAGGACATCTACTCGGCCTGGACCACTTTCCCGCTGATCGTGAAGACGCAGCGCCGGGGCCGCAATGCGGAGGGCTCGACCTCGGACAAGTGGATGGGCAACATCCTCCAGATGAGGAAGGAGGCGGTGCCCTTCCTGGAGCCTGGGCATCCCCAAGCCGCGCAGCAAGGCGGAATGGAGCTACATCTTCAAGGAGATGGGGACGTTTCTGGCGGCCAAGAATTTCATCGTCAACTGCCCGTTGCCGGTGATGGAGATCCCAGTGGCCCCCGTCCACGACAGCAAGGAGGCGCTGCGTTTCAGGGCGGTCTGCGACGAGCGGATCACCCTCCCGCTGTCATCGCTCAGGGCTTTCGACTCGGTCTACACCAAGTTGGTGTCGGGCCTGAGCAAGTCCTCCATGGTGGAGGTGAAGGTCAACTGGCGTTGCAACGTGGTCCACGACTGGGTCGAGCAGGTCCTGCAGGAGGCGGCGGGGGCCTTGTACGACAGGTTGGGCTACTCCCAGGACCTCATCCGGCAGCTGGGTTGCTCCCCCCCTTTGGGTGCCTCTGGCCCCGGGGGAGGAGCGGCCAAGGAGTCGGACCCCAAGGCCAAGGTTCTGGGGGCGGCAGACACCACGCTCCGCACACCGGACCAGGGCACCAGGCGGTACCCGCCCATCACCACGTCCACGGTCACGGCGGTCGCGGGCCGGAGACGAAGCATGTGTTTTGGGCCTCCGTGATCAGCGCCTGGGAAGTGGTGGGCAAGGAGAAGTTCAAGACCACCGGGGGCTACATGTGCAGGTTTTGCAAGGGCTTCTGGAGGGCGAGCCGCGGGGGGACCAGGCTGCTCCAGATCACGGGGTGGCACAAAGACAAGGCCACATGCTTGCAGCTGGTGATGGACGAGCCCCCGGAGCAGCTATATAATCAGTGGATCCGGGACAGGATGGAGTTCTACAAGAGGGTGGAGCCGACGGAGCCTCCCAGGGACGAGCGGCTAGTCCTGGGCGACGCGAGCACCCCGCGCATGCGCTTCAGCTCCTCGAATGGCCTGGGGGATGTCTCCACTGCCTTGTGGTCGGTCATTTTGAGCAACCCGGAGAAGTCAGGGCTGGCGGCCATCCACTCGGTGGCACTTTTGGCCCTGTTGGGGCTGCGTGTGGCCTGCCTGCCCCTTTTGCACTCGGCATCCTGCGCGGTTGGAACATGCATGCAGTTTGCCGCGGTTGGATCCCGGCCGCTCGATAGGAGGCTCGAACCCCCCCGTTTTCATCATGGCTAGGGTTTCTACCAAGTTTCTTTTGCGCCCGCCTTACACTCGTCTTTGGGACCGCATTCCAAGGGTCCTGTGGGACACATTGGTGGATGAGTCCTTCTCCCCGAGACAGACGGACGGGGAGCTGTTGGTCCTGATGTGCCTGCGCCATGGCACGGCGGAGGAGGGGAGGCAGCTGGGCGGGGAGCCGGCCGTCCGCTTCGCCCAGCTCCTGCAACTCTCGGGCATTCCGGTAGGGCAAGACGACCAAGTGGTACCGACGGACTACCTGGTGGCGTCGGCGGCGGGCAGGCTTCCCCAGCCTCTGTCCGCGGCGGACCTGGCCGACCTTTGGGACAGCCTATGGTTCCTCCGCATGGCGGCTGCGGATGGCAAGCCGAGCGAGAACTTTTCCCCGCTGGAGAATGAATGGGACCGCCAGGACCAACTCAGGTGGTTCTCACGAGATGACCCACCCCCACTCCAACAGCCGGAGCTTCTGAAGTGGAGGGAAAATCAGGGAAATGGAGCCCACGACCCAGCGAGAAGAGGAGCGGACCCAGCCAGGGCACTCCAGAAGGGCGGAAGCACCCCTTTCCCCCGCACCCACCGAGGCAGTGGGAAGACCCCCCAGAGAGACCCAGAGGTGAGGATCCGCCCGGCAAGGGGCGTTCCAAGGGCGGGAAGAACCGCCAGGGCAAGCAGCAAGCCCAGGGACAGATGCTGGAGGGTCAGACAAAGGACACACGGAATCCCTAGGGGGGGCAAGCCCCACCTTCCCATGGATGCAGGACACCCCGGAAAGACTGAGGGGTGGACGCCACGTCCGGTGCCGGAGTCGTCAAAGCCGTTCCTCATCCTGCTGTACGCTGGGAAGGATGATGCGGGGGCCCTGGATGCTTACCTCCATGCCTACAACCCGGCCTTCTCGGAGTACATTTGGGCGGTGGACATCAGGCGAAAGGGTGGAGATCTTGGACAGGACATGCTGGGAGATGAGCCTTACTCTACGATGTGCTCCATGGCCATGGCGGGCAAGGTCGCCTTTGTGGGGGGCGGCCCCAACTGCAGGACGTGGAGCATTCTCAGATGGTTCCCCAAACCGGGTGGCCCGCCGCCGGTGAGGGGCAGAGCGGAGCAGACCCTGTGGGGCTTAGAGGACCTGGAGTTTCGGGTTATGGAGGACACGGACAACGACAGCGTGCGCATGCTCCGACAGATGTACCTGACCTCGCTGGCCTACAAGGGGCTAGGTCAGCTAACGGTCCCGCAGGTGGGCTCCTCCTTCTTATGGAGTGCAGCAAGAGCCCCATCGATCTGGGTCACACGGGCCTACATTCAATGGGCGAACGCACTCCACCACTCCCTCATCAAGTTTGACGAGTGCCGCCTGGGCCAGGTGGTAGTGAAGTCCACGACATTGTCAACGGACCTTCCCCTTCACCATTGGCATGATCTGCGATGCAACCACGGGGCTCACCCCAGGGGGGAAAAGCTCAACTCCAGTGACCTCACCCAGAGCAGATGATGCAGGGTCTCGCACCATCCTTTGCAGAGCGGGACCCGTCCTGGAAACGCTGAGGCCGGGGGGCACGGTGCCCCAGGCGAACCCAACTACCCCCCCGAGGCGGCAGAGGGAACCTTCTCCCAGCACGCCGGGGGACAACAAGCGCCAGTCCCGGAGGCTGAAGGCCGGCCAACAAGCGTTGGCGGGACTAACCTTGGGCTCACTTCCGGTCTCGGCCTCGGACAATCCGGAGGTCCGGACACCGACACAGAGGACTGGCGAGACGGACGAACTTCGGGGGGGAACTCTTTCCCCTGAGCCATGGGCACGCCATTGCATGGAAATCTCGGATCGGCCCACCATCCTGCCGATCACGCACGACCCAAATCTCTCCGACAAGGTCATGTACCTCCAGATGGCCTTCAAACAGCGCCCCCTAAGGGACGGGGGGGGAAAGCCCTCATTGGGACGGCTGGCCCCATGGACTCAGCCACTGTCCAAAGCAGCAGCGATGGGGGCCAAGATCTGTGTCCTCACTTCGCCATGGGGGGACAAGCTCCAGGAGTCGCTCTCGTTGGGGGACGGGTCACATCCCTTCCCGGAGGACCTGCTGGAGGATATCAGGGAGATTGTGGCGCCGGGGGCAGGCCGATCAGCTGACGGCCAACCCTTCTTCCTGGACATCTTGCACAGCGTGGCGCTGAACATTCAGGACCCCGACCACCAGTTTCCCCACGATCTGGAGCAAGGGGTCCCACTTGGGGGTCACGGACCCACCCCTGGCCTCGCCGGGCATCTGGCCACTCAAGAAGGAGCTGAAAGGGGAGGAGCCGGAGTTTCAGGAACTCCCTCACCCCACATTCCGGGGTAACTACCCCGGCGGATCACTTCAGCGAGCTCATCCGGGGCACATTCCTGGAGGAGGTCCCCATGGGCATGGTAGAGGGCCCCTTCACTAAGGTGGAGGCAGCATCGCGCTGTGGCTGCGAAATGGAGGACCTTTGTCCCGGCCCCCTAGCGGGCATCGACGAGGGGGACAAGATCCGCACCATCTACGATGGCTCGGTGGGCGGGGCCAATGACAACCAGACGGTGGAAAGGACGACGGCTCCGACGGTGCTGGATGGGGTACAAGCTCTTTATTGGCTACATGCGGCAGCTGCGGAGGGACCCCCCTCTCAGGGTGCCCCTGGCCCCGAGAGGGAGGTCGTCAAACCTCCACCTGGGGGCTGGCTATGGCCGGAGCCGGGCACCAGGTGGGTGCTGCTCAAGGCGGACGTCACCAAGGCCCACCGGAGAGTGAAGGTCCTCAGGAAGGACTGGCGGTTCCAGGTGGCCTCACTGGGGGAAGAATGGTGGGTGAACAAGGTAGGCACATATGGCATGGCCAGTGCCCAATCCTACTGGGGACGCCTGGCAGCCCTTCTACTCAGGGTCCTCTACGCACTTTTCCCTCCTCTTTTGTGGATGACTTCCTGTGGCTGCTTCGAAGCGAGGGGGCAGTAAACTTGGCGGTGGCGCTGCTGGCAACACTCCTGGCCTTGGGCACCCCGCTTAGCTGGAAGAAGACACATTTGGCGGAGGTTAACACGTGGCTGGGCTTCGTGGTCCACCCGAACATCCCGCAGGTTCTCATGGCCGCCAACAAACACATCCTGGTGATGGAGGTTTTGCAGACCATGGTGGAAGGGCAGGCGATGCACTCAAAGGACATCGAGAAGGCCCTGGGCCGCATCCAATGGGCGACTGCTGCATGTCCGCTGGCGAAGTCGATGCTCCAGCCACTTTGGGCCTGGAAGATGGCCACCACCACGGTGGGGAAACCCCCCAAGGTGGTCAGGATGCTGGCGTTCATGCTGCGGTTCCTCTTCAACACGCCCTTCGTCCAGTACTCCCCTTACTTGCCGAAGTCCTCTTGGTGGGGTTGCAGCGATGCTAGCGCCTCGGACGAAGGACTGGCATTTGTGGGAGGTTGGTGCTCCAACAAAGTGGAGCCGGAAAAGAAGGAGGTGTACTGGTTCCACGAGCAGATCCACGTGGAGGAGTACCCTTGGGCATTCAAGAATGGGGATCCCAAGCGGAGGATTGCGGCTTTGGAAATGCTGGGCACGCTCTTCCTCTGTAACATGATCCTCACGCACCAAGGCCCTCTGTCCTCCCGGGTCCGACTCCCGGTGGGCAGTGACAATCAGGGCAACGTCATGGCGATGCTCAACCTTGGATCCAAGAAGCCCTACACGCGGCGATCCTGATGGAGCTGGTCTTCCTGCTCCACACCCATGGCTGCTCGCTGGCGGCCAACCACGTGCCCCGGGAATTCAACCAATGGGCTGATGAACTGACGCACCCAGATTTCTCTGGGTTCGACCCTTTGCACAGGGTCCCCAAACAGGAACTCTGCGAGGAGTTCGTTTTTCTCCCGCGTCTCCTGAATGGAGATGCATTTGATCTTAGCGTGGGCCCACCCATGCTCCCGTGACCGGAGCCGGTGGGTGACTCACTTCCCCTGGTGGCAGACCCCCCTGTGGCCTGGGTGCCCCGGGCCCCGGCTCAGGGGCGGGCGCTATCAGTCTGCACACCTGTTCTTCAGTTTTTGAGATTGTGAGTTGGGTGGCCCATGGGGCCCACCCAGCCTTTGACATCTGACAGGGGAAGATGAGTCCCTGGCACCAACACATTGCTCGGATAAAAGAGTTATCGCGTGCTTGTGTGGTGCCGTTTGGTTAGCTTGCATACACTTTGGAAGGTACACGGCCTTTATTTCAAGCGCAGCCACGCATTCTGGGGCTTCTCCTATTTTGGCACACCGGTCGCCTTTACAGATGGACTAAACACGAAGGGGTTACAATTCCTATGGACTTTGCCTTGTTGGTTTTGCATAGCAGACGGTGCCTCTGCAAAGTTCAAGGGTTTTTGGGGCTTGCAACTGTGCCGATTCGGGTTATTGAAAACTGATCTAACAAAGGCGTGCGTAGACACGGCAGCTCTTGTTCGGCAACGCTATCCAGGCAATATTAGAATCACCGTTGTGAAACTAAACATGATGTTTGTGGCAGGTTTGAAAGGGAAGCAAGGGATGCGCTTCCCCTTTTTCACAAAGCACCCAAATAGAAGTTGGACTCGCAAAAATCGGCAACGGTTTCATTGGGGACATCCAACACCTTCCCAAGGTTTCCAACTTCAGAATGGGGTCGCAGAATGGAGAACAATCCCTGTTTCATGTCCGAGTGCGGCATTTCTGGTTGCACCACTGGCTCCCTGCAATCGCTTTTCCCCTACCACCAGCCCCGGCCAGGTTCATCCCCCGCACTCCCGGTTTGGATTGGTCTCTTTGCCCTGCCGCCCGGAAGGAGCAATGAGGTGAGAGACACTTTGCAGGGTTCCACGTTGGGATGGATGAAATTTTTAGAAGAGTGGGATACATCACCTGTATCCAATCTATTTAAGAGGGTCCACCTCTCGTCTTCTGGCAAACTGACTGGTCTTTGTCATGCACATGTGGACGCAGATATACCCTTGTGCATGCCGCTTCCCAGCGGTCGTTTTCGCAAGGTGGCAGATGACTAAAGCAGCTACCACATTGCACAGGATGCACACTGTTTTTAAGAAGATAAAGCAAACTGGTCACTCTATTCATGGTTGCTGGCAAGATGTTTCTAGTTTCAACTCAACTACAGTGTAGCAGTTGGAGCTGGCTAGAAAAGGGTGTCATCACTGCTTGGCTTTCATCACACAGCTGGTCAGGATTCGTTATTACCCGCAAGTCGTTACTTGTTTCGATCTACATCCGTCCACTTCGCCTCACGAAATAGTCTCCGGACAGCCACTGGCTCTCCGGCTCTTGAACCTTCAGCCTTGGGAATTTGTGTGTGTGTGTGTTTCTTCCAAAAGCCACCGGCTCTATCTTTCCAAGAGGCCAGACCTCTGAAAGGGATATCTAAAGTTTCGGATGCTACAAACTGCGCCTTACGTGAGGGGTTGGCCGCTAGGTTTTTGCATTGCCATTGTGGCGAGGGGCGAGTCCAACGAGCCCCCCGAGGTCCGAAACGGCCCAACACGCAAAGCCTTCTGGACAATTTAAAGCCGGACACCCAAACTTGTAGAAGACCTTAGCTTGCAGAGAGCGAACTAGGGAATGGTCCATGTCTGTCCCTCTTCCAAAAAATCAGCATGGTTCCTGTTCGTCCCGTTATTTCGACATTCCCCAAATTGTTCATGCTGGTCTCCTTTCAACATGTGGTTCTGTCTTTAGGCAAACCAAGGGAAGACCAGCGGTTTGGGGGTCCCTCATTCTCAGACGCCCGTGTTTGAATCTATGCAACCATCCGAAGGCGGCTTTTTCTCTCAAAGAGGCGATCTCCTCGTTGCGGAATTTTCTGAGGCAAGTTGTGCATCCCCGGGTGGGGTCTGGATGTGAACGGCACTTGCGAGCAGTGCGAGGCCCCCCACTGCCGCTTGCCCGATCAAGTTCTGGACTCCTCTGTCTGTCGGCTCGTATGGGGGTCTCATGGATGGCTATGGGGATGTCCTCGAGTGCATGAAAAGCGAGATGCAATTTCTGAGGGCCTTCAATGTTTGGAAGCAATTCAATTTGAGCCCCGTCTACTTTAATGGAACCAGATCCCCTGGACCCCTTCTTTTGGCCCCGTTTTTCCGAATCCATGAGAGGCTCTCCCAAAGGCAGTTGAGCAGTCCAACTTGGTCCAGCACCAAAGCACTCGGCGAAGCTTCCCAATTTCAGAAGGGGGTCTGCTTTCTTGCAAGCACGTCATGGCGCAAACAAGGCAAATGTGGGACCTGCCAGTACCGTCCAACAAGCAGTCGTCCGAGAGTGCTTTGTCTGACCCCAGGCCTTTGTGGCATCAATTGTTTGGAAACAGAGACTTTGTAGCTCCTGAATATATATATATATATATATGTATATATATATGTATATATATACACATATATATATATATATATATATATATATATACATACACATACATACGTTAGATTTGGGCTGGTTTTAGGGGTGGCTTGAGGACGGTTTTGGGTTGGTTTGCGGTCGGCTTAGGGTTGTCTTGGGCAGTTTTGAAGGGTCGATTTGGGATGTGTCTTGGAAACACCCTGCCCGCCCTGTAGTGGTTTTACGGCTTGCTCATTTGTTGGCTTGCTTACAAACGGAAGTGTAGAGGAACTTTTGTGGTACGGACACGGGACTTGACCATCAAACGACACCAAACTATGGGTACAGGTAGATTCTATGAGAGCGAGGCTTATATCGCTGCACTGACAATAGAAAAGCAAGATATTGCCAGTGGCTGGAATAAGCACGCACGAGAAAACATGCGCTCGCGTGTGGCAGGCAATAGACATGTCAGGCTTCGAATGCCTGAAAGCTAGCCTGGTCGCCACGCCTGCTCGGAGCGCTCTCGCCCGAAGTCCGCAGGTTGTGCGAGCAAAGTGACACTCGTTAAACTGACAAACTCGACTTTTTGAAAATCGACCCCCAAAGTGCGCAGAGGGTGCTTTTTTTTGCTGTGGGGCGGGGGCGGGGGGAAGTGTTGGAGAGGGGGGGGGGTGGTACTTGAATTGTACAGGATTGACCCTTACAGCAATGTAGGAATCCCTTTTATCATATTTTGTATATAAATAGATATGTGTATATTCATCTATTTGTATAGGACCACCCCGCCTCCCCCATGATCAACATTCCTTTTGTTTCCTTCCAAGAGCGCTACAAAAAACGTGCGTTTTTTTTCTTCTTCTTTTTTATGTTTTCCTTTCACATTGTGCTGGATGGTGGCCCGAATCGGGCCAACCGAAGTGCATGCAAATCCAAGAAGAACGCAACACACAGCGTTAACAAGCCAAGAACTCTGAGACGAAGCTTTGGTTTTGCCAAAAAGTTTCGCTTTGGGTTTCTCGACTGTTTTTCGTTTTCCTGCAGTTATTTTTGGCTTCTGACAAAAGCCAGAAATCTCGAGGGTTGTTTTGTTTTTGTGAGAAGACCAAAAGCCAAACAAATTGTTCCTTGTTTTCGTGTTTTCGTGTTTTCCCCCCAGTTCTTTGTTTTCTTGGTAACAGCCAAAAAACTCGAGAGCTTTGTTTTTTGGATTTCTCTTTGATGGAACACCTTGAGAAACCAAAAGCCAAAAATACGAAACTCTGAGGAGACGTTTTGGTTTTGCCAAATAGTTGTGTTCCTTTGTTTTTATTGAGTTGTTCTTGCTTTCCCGCAGCTTTTTGGGCTTTTAGCTCTATCCCTTCAAACTGTTTTTGGGGGCATGTAGTTTTATCGCAACATGTTTCAACGCCACGGCCAATGCGCCGTTTGGCTCAAGCTTTTCACTCGGCAACCGTTTCTCGCCATTTCGTCGGAAAGAGTCCGCGGCGCTCCACACGCCGGCTGCGCGGTGCCGCAGCCGTCGTTGCCGGGGCGGTGGTCTTGGTCCCGGAGGTGGGTCGGGTTTTGGTTGGAGTGCGCTGCTATTGCTTGCTTTGCTCGCTTGGTGCTGCTTGCTGCTGGTTTGCTTGCCTGCTTTGCGCTGTGCTGCGCTTCTGCTTGGTTCCTTCTTGTTACAACGAGGCACCCCTTTTGGTTCGTGTTAGTGCCGGCCGGGGGCAACTGCTTTGCCCTTGGGACCGGGGGGATAAGGTGGTCTCTTCTTGTTGGTGGGTTAGGGCCTGTTTTATCCATCCCGAAACTCTGTTTCAAACCCTTTCGCAGGTTATCAGCCGTAGGATTCGTCCTCGGTTGGCACCGCGAACCCCTTTTTAACAACCCTGCAGGCTTGTAGGGTAGTGTAGGAGTCATGGCGGGAATCACTGAGGATGGACCTCATGTGGTGACCGATGAATGGGTTCTCGGCCAGGCCGGAATCTTGGACGTTGTGAATGACGACCAAGTGCCCGGACAGCCGATGTTTTCCGGTCCTGACTTTTTGTCGGACCACACTTTTTCAGAAGCAATGCCTTCAGAGAGATCCAGTGCTACTCGCACTGATGATCTATCGTCTAATGCCTCAAGAGCTAATCGCTCTCAGGGTCGTGGGTCTAATCGTCCTGGCCATGATGATTCCGTCTCAGGACGTGATGATGACGAGCCCGGTATTGCACCTGGAGCTCAATCCTCATCTTTCCCCGAGCTGATGAATATTGGTCAGTCCGAAATTCGTGACTCTCGAAGTAGCAGTAGACCTGTGCCAACCAGTAGTATAGTTTTTCAAGCGCTCGGTAATCCCGAACCTGGTACATCCAGTGGAGTTGCATTTGACGTTCATCTGCCGACCGAATCCGGTGGGCTCGATTGGAGAGCCTCATGGCCCAACGACGGAAACATTTTTGGTATGGATTTTGCCGCATGGATGCCAGGGCCACCCGCCCCGTCATCTTTCCCACAATTCCAAAGCCCAAAACGGGCTGCTGGAAGCGACGAATTCATGCTACCTTTGTCGATTGAGAATCTCAATCCTGACGTGGCCAGCCGTAACGTCAGGCCAAGGCCGTCGGTAAACCCGACCATGAGGAACATGTCCCCTCCCCCAGGACTTTCAGGATTTGAGAGCCCTAGGGAGCGTAATATCGTAGATAGATTGGATTTGCATCCCAGTCCAACCCCAAGCAAACGATCAAGGTCAAATTCGACTGGATCGCATAGGGCTAGGGGGATGGATCGGGAAACTGCCCATAGGGTTAACCCCAATACGCGGGACTCAGGACGCGGTCGATCAGGTGACCCAGCGTCGATCATTGGTAGAGATCCGCTAAACGCGGACACGTTGATTAACGTGCTTGATGGGATCGAAGCATTCCAGGAGGAATTCAATAGGTCGAGTGGCCCGAATGTACAGCCTGTTCGCCCTACGCCCAATGCGGCTTCCTTTCTCGCCATTGACAACACAGACGGAGCTGATGTTCCGATTGAGTCTGAGTCCATGATGGCATCAAGTTCCAATCACAACAACACCGTCAGCAGCGCTACCGATGTTGAATCAATGTCTGAGTCTAGAGCGTCCAATGCGACTGATTTGCATGACGTTGTCATTGCCGATATGAAGCCTGAAGTTCCTATGCGGACTGATAGGCCGGTAGTTCCCAAATTGTTTGTGACAAAGGGTCTAGGCATGCCACAGCCATCAGCGGTTCGTGATGCCAGAAGATCTGCACCGTATCAGAGTCAGTCTCCGAATCGGAGCGAATTCCCACGGCCATCAACGGCTGTACAAGATGATTTCAGGACACCTCCGAGATCTAATCCGATCATGGTTGATTTGTCCACTCCTCGAGATCGCGGATCAGGATTTGGTCCTGCGAGTGAGGAGCAACCCAACGAGGTTGCTGATCTTGTAACAGCCCTTGAAAGAGGGAGAGTGGACTCTTCGGTAAGTGCGATCATTCATCGCCTGGTTGCTAAGGTCGAAGACCTTGGGCGTAGGAATGATAGAAGTGATCAATGCATCAAGCAGCTCTCCACTGAGGTTAACTCGTGGAGGGCCAAATACGACCAATGCGTCCATGTGAATAGCACGTGTACGCAGGCTGCGAACGCGGCCATGCAGCTGTCACAAGGGACTAAGGACATCGTGACCGAGCTTGGCCAACGCGTCAAGATCGTTTCCAATCGCATGATAAGCATAGGCGATGCCCTAAATGAGCGAGCCAGCTATGATGATGTTGCTCGCTCCATCACCCAAGTTCAAACTGTTTTTGAATCTCTTTCTGATCGAGTAACCGGGCTTATAGCTCGTGTTGATATGATCGAGAGATCTCTAGTGGAGAGCCAATCCAACCATCCTGCGATTGGTGGAGTAAACCTCAAAATCGAGGACCTGTCCACTAGGGTATGTCAGATTGATAGGATGATGCAGGATGTCGAACAATGCTGGACCAATAATAGGGACGGCATAAAGTGGGTTAAAGACCAACTTTATGAAACACAAGCCAACCTTGAGATAAAGTCAAGGGACTGCAAATCCTACACGGACAAGCAAAATACTCATAACATGGCCGTTTCGACTACGCTCAACAGTAAGCTCGAGCAAATGCTCGAGGTGCTGGGTAATACGGCCCAGAGAATTAACTCCCTCGAGTCAAGGCACTCGAACCAGGCATCAAGTAGTGGATTGAACGATCGCACAGGAGGAAGGCGTGCCGCGTCCCGTACTCCGGATAAGCGGCCACCTCCACCTGGCCCTCCTGATGATGATCCTCCACCACCTCCTCCTCCAGATCGGCAAAGCCCAGGAGGAGGGGGGAAGAAGAGTGCTGCCGGTGGGAACCCTGGCGACCCTGGTAAACCCAGGTGTAAATACGTAGGTGATGGAAATAATCACCTCATGGCTGAGTTTCACTGCAAAGGATGCAGAGGTGATATTTGTGAGTATTGTTTCTCGTTCAAAGAGAACTTGTGTGAAGAATGTTCCCGTAACGGACCCCGATGCGGTGTCTGTAGGGAGAGCTCGTTCC